TTGGCACCTTCTCTCATGTCCAGTCCAGAGACACTTAGCCCTGCTCCTGTTGTGGCCCCAGAATATCTTTCTCCTCCTCACCCAGCTGCCTGAAGATTTTTTGGGCTCCCATTCAGTACCTTCTCTTGCCTCCAGTCCCAGATAAGTTAGCTTTGCTCTTATGAGGGTTCCTTCCCACATGAGCTCTGCTTAGCCCTCTATTTCTTATGGAAACTAGTGCACCCAAACCACACGGCTGTTTCCAATCTCCATTTTGTCTACATCTTCCAACAATTTCCCTCTGCCCTTCTTTTCCCTCTGTTCTTTCTTCTTGGTCCCTTCTCAAGTGAATTCCTATCTCCTTCCCCTTTGCCTCAAAACAAAGTTTTGTTTTTGTTTTTTTTTAAGCAAAAGGAGAGTGGAACCCTTCTCCGTGTTTGCTCCAGCAAAACTCTGGAACCTTCTCCTGTATTTGCTCCAGCAAAACCCTTCCACACACCACCTTCCTTCTAAAGGCCAGGATTCCAAAAATGCCCAAAATTCTATTAAAAAGATGGCTGTGGGTCATCTCTGGTGTACGTGCTTTTCTTTGAAGTATGTGAAGTCGTTATGGAGTCTCCTGCCTGTTTGCTCAGGTGTCTGGGATATCAGGTCTCTGAGGCTCTCTGCCTGTGTGCTGTTCAGACTTGGGCGAGTGGCTGAGTGAATGTGGGCAGGGAAGGTTTTGCCATTCACTATACTAGCACTGTAACTTTCATATAGAAATTGCAAGGCATCCGTTTCAAATGGACCCTGATGCTATGAATTTTGAGGGAAACCCAGGATTTAGAATCAATGAAGTGATTCATTTAATATCATAGAGCACTGTTGGGCTGTTTATACCCCAAATGATATAACTCTAGGAGTTCTACAAAGCGCTTACATTAGCTACATACTTTGGCAGTGTGAAAATAATGTGCTTCAATGTATGTAATGAAAAATGTTATGCAGAAATCTCTGAAAATGTAGTTTTTATGTTAGCTGTAAACACTAATACACACCCATAAATAGTTACTTGTGTAATATTGGATATGCTTTCTGATTTGATAGGCTTTATTCTGTAATAAGCAGGGAAGGTAACACAGAAAATTGGGGTTATTTTCATTTTAAACCTATCAGATGGTTCAGCAGACCTATTCAAACTCCTGAAAATATTCGTTTTGAAGAGTGCTTTATGTTGCATCGATATCTAGCAAAGTCAGCCCTAAAACTTGTTTGCAACATTTATTTTGTGTTATTTTAAATCCCCAACAAAACAGTTTCTCTTATGATTTTTTTTTTAATTTACGGAAAGAGCCAATATTTGTTTACAATCCTGGCTTAGAGAACTAGTAAGAGGGAGCATAAGAAGAAACCTGTGAAGTCAAGATTAATTTAGGATTAAATATGATTTGGCATTACTTCTGAACTATAATTGAGGAAAGAAGTTCAATATTAGTGCTTAAATTGAAGAGTTATTTGAATTATTAAGCTGGTAGTATATGTAGTGCTACATGCAATCCCATGTAATAATCATGAAAATCCATAAGAATCCATATTTCCAATCTATGTTTTTGTGTTAACTCTGAAAAATATCAGATGTGGTTTCTGTTTTGCAGACAGATGACATGAAGGAAAGCTTCGGTGCTTTCTGTGTTGAGCGGAATCACCCTCCACTGTTCAAGGAATGGGAAGGGGAGTTACATCATCCATTCTTCATTCCATCATTTGTAACCTTCCCATCTTTCTCTACCACTTCATTTTTCCCCAGAGAAAATGTATGAATGAGGAAATGATAGATGTGCTGCAAAATCACTATGACTGGGACCCCTCCATCTGGAGGCAAACACAATACTCATTAGTTACTTTATTATTTATTATTCCACCCCAAAACAAGTATTCTCTGAATACATACAAAGTGACACAATAAAGACAATAACATGTCATGTTCAAATGGATGTTATCATTCTACTGGATCCAAGGTTTACCCAAAGCACATATGGAAAACACACACTGGTTTTTAATCTCTTTCTGTATGTGTTCGTGTGTGTGTGAGACAGAGAGGAGAAAGAGACAGAATAGTAAGTATAGAAGATCTCTCATAAAGTAGTGTGCTAAATGGAGAATCAGCTAGTATAATTTGTAAGTGACCTTTTTCCCTGGTAGTACTTCTGTAAAAGTGACTTGACTTTCATCTGCAACAGGCAGTAAACTTTGTAGATCTTCCGAATGGATAGTTTTGCGGGAATGGAAGATGGCTACCCCTTGTCAATAATGGGAGACAAGTGATTTCCATACAGAAGCCTGGCTGCTTTCTTAGATCAGTGTTTCTCAACTTTGGCAACTTTAAGATGCGTGGACTTCAACTTCCAGAATTCCCCAGCATACTGATGAAGGTCTCTTGGGGAAATTAATGGCAGCTGGAGAAAGGAGAGGGTAATAAGAGCTTTATGAGTCCTACAACATTATACTATGAATAATATATTAAAGTAGCTTTAATTTCTGGTTAGACAGAAAGCTGGCCTGGATAGTGGGTTTTTTTCAAAAAAACATGTCATTCCTAAAGCAATAAAACAAGGGATTGCTTGTAATTTTTGCTTTAGTTTGGGGTAGGGAATTCTCTTGTTTTTTTTCACATTTTATGGAAAAGATGCACTTATTTTACAGTTTGAAGATATGTCGATATCACAGACAATATTAATTTGCTGTGGAAATGATAAATAAAGGCAGTTTTTCACTTTTTTTATAAAAAAGCTCATAGCAGACATTTTACAAACAGACCAGAGTATCCTTTCATATTTATTTATTTTTTGTACTATTATCGTTTGAAAATTAATTTTGTTCACACATTTTTCAGATCCTTGTTTGCTTAGAATCCCTTACGTAGTATTTAAACAATTATTGTCTGTAATCTTTATGTATGGGGTATTATCAAATGGATAAAATAAGATTTGATAGACATTCTGGGGGGAAATCCAATATGTAAATGAGAATGAATGCAGAACTGTTAATATTTGTGCCTGACTGGCTCAGAGAAGGAGATAATCCTTCAAGAGTTGTGCTGGTGCTTTATTAAAAACTTTGTAAGACATTATGAAAAACAACAGAACTGATCCTGTATGCTTTGTAAAAGTACTGAACTGTGGGGATTTTTGAAAAGGTTATCCACAAATTACAGAACAATTAGAAGTACACAGTTGAAAAACCCAAACCATTTAATGATTTTAAAAGTATAAAAATATGTGGTGCTCCTAATTTTTAAAAGTTAATTCTATTCATACTAATATTTGTTAAAGCAAAGAGCCCCAGGCAATTAAAGTTCTATTCGAAAACTAGAAATTCATGTTTTTGGGGGGTTTTGGCTATAGAATGCTAAAGAACTATTAGCAGATGATAAAACTATTGAGTTTCCCCAGTAAAGGACAGTATCTTTTAGGTGCCCTGCAGATGGGAGAAGGTCAAAAAAGTCAATATGATGGATGCAACTGCATGATTCACCCCTTTTTAGCATGCATCACATGTGTGTGTCAAAGGGTGGGAAAGGGGGACAGGAATTTTCCAGACACACACACACCATTCTCTGTTTATGGTGATATTTAATATATACAGTGGCCTTTGCTTCATTAACAATGCATATACCATTTTACACAATCACAAACAGAGCTTTTTACAGTACCTTCTCTGTTTTCCTCTCTCCCTTCAGCAGTTTCTTTCTGAATTTTTATTTCTGGCTTGCTTCTATCCTAAGGTGGAGGTCAAGAAGAGGGAAAAATAATTCCACCCAAAAGGTGTGGGATTCCATCACCTTCGTCAAGCTGTCCTCACTGACATCCGGCCCACTGTCTGAGAACTATAGTCCTTTCCACTAGTCAACTTTGTTCAGTGGATCTCTTTCTCACGTTCTGTTTGTTCCTGCTAGGTCTCCCACTGCAGATTCCTCCTCCTTGATACACACAATATTATCAGTCCCTGGTGTACAAGAATGACTCCAGGGATGCCCAACAATTTTCTCTTCCATTATTTAATGCTTTGTGACTTTTGCATCATCTCAAGTCCATCAGAGCAACTCATCCTTCATAGTATGGCACATATAAAAAGGGTCAGGGCATCTCTTGCACAGTCTTGGCCACCATCTTGATCTTTTTTATTCCCCTACGATGCTCCTGCTTCCAGATGTGTTCCAGTGATAATTGTTATAACTCAGCATTTGTGGAGGACACCAGATTGAAGCTGGTTATAGTAAGCACTTACTAGGGACTAATACTGCTTTAATAATCTACTCCTTACCTTCTGCATGAATGGAAATAGGGTTGCTTTGGGAGATTATTGCAAATTTTATATTTTCTGAATTAACTATAATTAGCTGACCAGGTTATTAATTACTGTACTGTTCCTTTATTTTTCACTGACAAGGATAGTGTCAGATCTACGATGTTCAAATCCCAATGAAGAAAAATCTCTTGAAACCCGAGTCAAGTTCAAAAAGAAATTCATTTATTGAGATGTACATGCAGCTTCAAAGCATTGCTGAAACTAAAAGCCTGCGCATTCCCAATCTACTTTTACCCTCAGTTCTAAACCCCCCTTCTCCTCAGCCAGTTCTTGGTTCTCATGTTGGTACGACCTTGGACATTCCTGACCTTAGATAACAGTCCATCTATATTAACAGTTTCATGTTCCTTGGTCCCCCCTCCCCCCTAGTGAAAAATGGCAGAAATGAAGCAAGCAATTAATGAGCTGATAGATTGATTGCTGGAGGTTCTGACAGATAGGCTCCACCACTAGGTAGTCACTTGAGGAAGCAAATGTGGTGGAGGGCACAATGATATCTTTGGATTGTCTTGGTAGTTGATATGGGTACATCAAGCTGAGATGATACTTTAACCTGTTAAGCTAGGTTTGGATTTGGGTTTTGTGAAAAAGTTTAAATCTAGCATTCCTACATGCTCTTTATAAGAGGGTTGATTGGTACATACAGATACAACTTTACTTTCTCTCCCTAGGTCAAAGGATCTAATAAAGGAAGCTATCCTTGACAATGACTTCATGAAGAATCTAGAATTGTCTCAGATCCAGGAGATTGTGGATTGTATGTATCCAGTGGAATATGGCAAAGATAGTTGCATCATCAAAGAAGGAGATGTTGGCTCACTGGTATATGTCATGGAAGGTATGTTGAACAATTGAGTGTGTGTGTGTGTGTGTGTATGTGTATGTATGTATATTTATTTATTTATTAAATTTATATGCCTCCCATCTCCTCCAGAGGGTGACTCTGGGTGGGGTGTGTGTGTGTGTATATTATATATATATGAATGAATGAACGAATGAATGAATGAACGAATGAATGAATGAAAGAAATATGTATACTTGCTTTTCCCCTTACCTACTTCCACAGAGTTGATTTTTGCCAGACAGGAAGTATTCCTGAGTTGTTGGAGACCATCACGATACTCTGAAACAATTCTTGAGTGATTACAATTTGGTTTATGTCTGGTATGCTGTAATTAGGATGTATTCTAATGAGGGGAATTATTACATATCACTGCATCCACTAATCTGCCTGCGATTTGCTGCAGGAGGACTGTTTAAAATAATCCAGGTGAAGTGGGAATGTTGACAAATATAGTCTTGCAATAAGGGAGACTTACATAGGGCACAGAATTCATTCATTTCCCTCCTCACAATTCCTCACAAAGCAGTGTAAAGCCAACTTTTGATTGCCTTCACTTTTGACCTCAAAATGCTGAGAATGGGTCAGAAATGCCATCCGCCATTCAGTTTTCTCTCCAGTTGACCAAAAGGAAAGTTCTAAAAATGGGACTCGTGGTGTCCTACCCCTTCAGTTATCACAACTTCTGAAGTAACAAAACTCCCTCATCCCTTTATCTTTAGTATGTTAGGAATATGCAGTGCTTCAGATTGAAAGCCAAACATGCTTTAGGGCGCTTTCTAGGCATCCTAGGCTCATTTGGTGGGCATGTGACCCTGGAAAAATATGCAGTTGAATTAAAGGAAGCTCAAACTTACCTGCTCTAAAGCATCTTGCCACACCCCTTTCAGCACTCTTTTACTCAAACATGTATTGTCCTAGGGTGGTGTGGCTATTGTGAAAGCTCAGAAAAAGATGCTTTCTTAAGGAGAAACTCAGAAGTACAGCATGCACACATTATCTGAAATACCTTTTTGGCTTTATGGCCTAAATGCTGCATATCCCCATAACACATGCTGTGTCTCTCTGTCTAACCATATGCAGAATCATCAGCAATAGGAAACAAAAATGGGCACTTCTTACAGAAAGGAGCAACCCTGCTGTGAAGATTCTCTCCCCTTGGTTTTTATTAAAATGCCTTTGCTAATTCTGATACTGGAAAAATAGCCTGGTGCCTGACTTTTTAGTGATTCTAGCTATGATTCAGAATTATCTAAGCATGTACATATGTGTTTGCCTAATAGTTTGCTTGATCCCAGGAGCTGGGCTATGAAGTGGGGGTAAGATTCAGTACAGGTGGCTTATGTAAGCAGAGAAATCAAGCCAGCAATCTTTTTGCAGGGATGGTGAAATTGACTGGAAACTGACCAAGAAGATTAAGATCAAGTTAGCTGATTAATTCCCTGTATTCCTTAGCACAGTTAGATTGGTGTGGATGCTGAAAAAAAGCTCGTTGTCTCTAAGACCTGGAAGATGTGATGGGGCAAAAGCCAAGCGTACAGAAAACCAGACCACTCACATACCTTAGCATTGTACAAAGATCCAGTTTTGCTCTAGTTAAAAGTGTAGAGGCACAAAAATGCCAGTTGGGGCTTGAAAAGATCCAGTGTCATGGGAATGAACGGAGCTAATCTGGAACTGGTGAAAGGAAAACAGCAATTACCCTACTGATTCTGTTACTGAGTTATTGCATTCTCTATGCAGATACTCACTGTATGGGCAAAGGGCAGAGTAAATATGGAATGGGTGATTCAGATGTTCTTTTGAAGATTATCTAATGCTGGTTGCATGGTTAAAGGCACAACCTGACCACTTTTCCCCATCTTATAGTTAAAAGATTGTTGTTTGGTTCAAATGCAGCTCATGGAAACTGACAGAATAGTACAGCAGGTTACGAAATTTTACTGTGGAAATGTCTTCTAGGATTCTGTTTTTAAAATGATTTTCACATTTGCAGTTGATTCCCAGGGTAGCACCTTTATTTTGAAATATGCTTAAGATGCGGGGCATATCCTATAATCTGCTTCATTATTTACTTGCCTTTAAAATTCTGTTGCCCTCTTTAGAATATACCTTACCTTCTGAGTTTCACAACAACAAATTCCTTTGTAATATTAGAATATAAGAAGAAAGACAGGGTCCTTTCTCACTCTGTCAAAAGACTAGAAATTTCAAGGACAGCATTACAATTGGTATATTACCAATTGTATTTTAAAATCACTGTTATTTCCCTGTAAGGGATCAAAATGGAAAAATTCACAATATTTTTATGTTATGATTGCTGGTTGTAAAGTACCTAGATATCCTCATGTAAATATCTTTTTCCTTAATCTTTTTCATTTTTTTTTTTTTATCTGCACTCAGTCGTTACCGACTCTGCAGTGACTGCTTTTTTTTTGGACGAGTCCTTTGCAGTTTTCAAGGCAAGGTGTTTCAGAAGTGGTTTGCCAGTGCCGCCTTCCTAGAGCAGAGCCCAGCTGGTGAGTGCAGGAGGTGGGGTTTCTGTTGTTTTGCGCCCTTTTCGGGCGCGCACGGTTTTTCGCACTTACCGGCAACTGCTCCCGACTCCTTTGCAAGGCGCTGCCAGCATTTTTCCTCCCATCGGAGTGAGAGTACCCATTTATCTACTCACATGAGTTTTCGAACTATTGGGTTTACAGGAACTGGGGAGGAAACAGGAGCTCACTCTGCTGCGCGAAGGCTGGGCTCGGACCGCTGAAGTGTCGACCATTTCTGGCCGGCAACTTTCAGCGTCATTAAGCCGCTGCGCCACCACGTCCCCCTTTTTCGTACATGATGTGAAATATAATGTTATCACAGCTATGTCAGATATTGTAACAGAAGAGACAAAGGAGCTTACATTCCCAAGAACCTCAAATAGGTTTAATAATCTATCTGTATCCATGTGTAACAATTACATTTCTGGGAATATGATGCGTTTCAAGAATGAGCTATATTCTGTCACTGAATTTTCAAACTCTTTGGAAACAGCAAGTGGCGTTATTGTATTTCTATATTGTAATTTCAGAATGCGGCAATTCGCAAACATAGCCCTATTGATTGATCATAATCAGTAGTGGTAAGTTAGAGAAACAATTCTGACTCAGCTAGCTGTTCTTGTTGTTTTTGCTTTACTAAAGAAATGAAAGTGCAGTGAAATTAATAAGTTTAGGTAATACAGTGATTCTGCAAATTTCAGTGGAGTGGTCAAGATCCCAGCTAACTTGCATTGATTTGTATATACATTATATAATATTAATACTTTTCATACAAACTCGTATAAACATTCTAAGTTTATATAAATTCCTCTAAGCTTATCTGTCCATTGGTTGTTCAAGAAGGCACACAAAAAATGTATCGGCCATTTTTAACTGTGTTGTAATAAACAGGTTATTCACTTAGCATAGATTCATATTTTGTGTTTTAGCATTTTCATGAAATATTAGGGATAGGTTTCCAAATATCCCTTTGCCTGTAGGTCTTGTCCTATACCTGACTAGGTACATGTAGGTATTTTCTCAAATTCCCATCTTGGACCTTAAAACTACATCCTAAACAGACTGGCTTATTAAGTTTACCATAAGGGATCAGTACTGTACATACTGTACGATGAGCACTTTCTAATATCCCAAGACAGCTATTAGAAATAGCCTAAGCTGTTATTACACTAAGGCACACATTTTGTGTCTAATGATGTTTTTTTTTTTTTCCAGTCCAGTTTTTATTGGGATCTCAGATTATTATTTTAAAATAAGCACTTTGAAAAATATTCTGATGTTCAACCGTAGTGGGGAAAAAAGATTCATTGCATAGTGAAATATTTCCCTGTTCGTTGTCTTTAGTGATTGTCTTTGACCCCTTTTAGAAATCTGCATGCAGGCAACAGCATATGTCAACTCTACTGCCAAGAAGTTTACAAAATCTGAAGGTGTAGTTTGCAGACATTCTAAGCGCTGCATTCTAAAAAGTGGGATGTCCGCTGCATTTCTGTTGAGTACGTTGAGTCCAGTATGTAAAAAATAGAAATTACATTATGTAGACTTTATATACAACTATAAATAGGAAGGTTAGTGTTGAATGAAGTATTATATAAAACCATGAGAACTGCAGCTAATTCCATTTTATCGAGATTTAATTTCAGTTTACTAACCCTCATCCAGTTCAGGATGTCTAATGACCACAACTGAAGTTGGACATGAGATACACATTTGGATGTCCTCTGTATACTAATGGCCCTTCTCTGAATCCTCTTCTTGTTAAGCAGCATAAGAACAGAACTAATTGCTAAAAGATGACATGGGGATGTATTTGACACTGAACAGGTATCTTCCAGCACCATCTTTGTGATCTATCAGGTAAGGTCAGAGCCATCATACCTGTCCTGTCAAGGTGACTTAGAAGAATGGAAGATGTAGCAGACCTAACAAAGATATTCTTCCCCAGTTGCGTTTTCCAGTGCAGATAATCAACTAATACAAAGTCATTTTGGTAATGAGTCTAGGCCTGAAACCAGATTGAAATAGATTCAAATAATGGATTCCACTTTATCTATTTTTAGAGTTGTTAGCCTATTGGCATCTAAGGGCTATGTCAAAAGAGGACAAACGTAGGTGAAAACCCTCTTACTTTCCTTCATCTGTGGTTCTCCTATCTTTTGAGGCTGCCAGTAGCGTCTCTACAGTTTTAACCACAGCAGCACAAGTGTCCTTGTGGCAAATGAAAGTTGCCAGTTTTACTTTAATGAGACTTTTTCACAAGGCCCTTCCTTCAGCTTGTTTTGTATTTTGCTGAATCTCAGCTGAGAACTCATTTCCATCTCCTCAGTGATGCCTCTCAACTGACACAGCAGCTGTCAGCTCAGCTTTCGCCCCTGCCTCACCTTACCATTCCTGGGGCTTGTTTATTTTTCAGTACATATATAGACTGTGCAGCTTCATTTAAGCTCTGAACCAAGCCTG